TATGTGGGAGTCCAGCGACATAACCATTACGCTAACTGCTGGTTCCCCCCCCATTAATTGTTTTTTTAGGAGAGAGATTTTGGGGCCAGCAGTTAGCGTAATGGTTATGTCGCTGGACTCCCACATAGTCGACCGTGGTTCGTGTCCCGGGCCCGGTGGCTTAAAACTCACGCCAGGCGCGTGTGCGTGCGTGCCCGCCCAAGATCCCGAGAGGAGAATGGAGGAGAAGGGATTGCGGCCTGACCATCCCCCCTGGGGGGTGATTTCTTGCTTTCTGTGTCTATGTCTCTCTCTCTCTCTGTCTGGCGAGCACACGTGCCCTATAGCAAAAAAACCTCTCCAAAAAAAAAAAAGATAAAAGAAAAAACAATTAATTAATTTTGTTAGTGCACATGGGCAACTTGCTATTAAAATGCAAATTTTATTTATCTCATTTTAGACTAAGCATTTTTTTATTGTTTACCAGTTTGTTTTAATAATTATATATTTTATTTTATTATTTCAATCTATGTAAATGTTCTATGACATTAAATATAGCTATAGCTTTGTCACAGTTCTAACAAGGATCAAAATTAAATGACTACGTTATCATTGTTCTCTTTTATATGAACTAAATCTCTCTGGATAAAATTCCCTATAAACCCACTGCGTGGCTGTTGTGGTTCCATAGTGAATTTATTTTTTTTCTTTATTTTTGAGAGATTTTTATTGCAGGGTGCGTGTGCTTGTTGGAGAGACAGAGGGAAACAAACAGGGAGAAATCACCCTTCTGGGGGATGGCCATGCTGAAATCCCTTCTCCATTCTGCTCGCAGGATCTTGGGCGGGCACACATGCACATGCAGCCAGTGTGAGTTTTAAGCTGCCAGGTCTGGGACCCAAACTGCGGCTGACTATATGAGAGTCCAGCGATGTAACCATTACGCCATATGCCATTCCCAGTAGTGAATATAGTTGTATGTTAGGGTAACTATACAATTTTGGATATTCATATCTTCTTTCCTACTTTGTATTCTGTAAACTTTAAGGTTAATTCACTTGTGAAAAGTGTAAATGTTAAGGTGTATTTTCACATTAAAATTTTGTGTCCTTTAAGGGTACTCCAAAAACAAATAGAACAAATAAACCTTCTACTCCTACAACTGCTGCTCGGAAAAAGAAGGACTTGAAGAATTTTAGGAATGTGGACAGCAACCTTGCTAACCTTATAATGAATGAAATTGTGGATAAGTAAGTTTTGGCATTTAAAGTGTTTCATTTTGTCTGTATTTTTGAATTTTATTTATAAAATATATAATGAGGTAGGTGGATGATAGATACCTTGTTTGATTTACATACATAGTTTTTATGATAGCTTTTAACTATTGTACTTGTAGAAAACCATTGCTTTACTGATTTAACTTTATAGTTAACATAAAGTGACTATACTTCATAAGGCTTAGAATTCATAACTGTTATGAAGAACCATATTTCTTTATGGATCTAATGAAGGTTCTGTTTCTTAGTGGAACAGCTGTTAAATTTGATGATATAGCTGGTCAAGAATTAGCAAAACAGGCATTACAGGAAATTGTTATTCTTCCTTCTCTGAGACCTGAGGTAAGGACTTTATTTTATCATTTTCCTATAATGCTAACTTTTTGTTTTAATTTGCCAGAGAATCCATCACTCACTAAAGAAAGAGAGGGAAAGTGAGAGGGCATTTCCCCCTTTTCTTGTCTCTCTGTCTCTGGCAAATGCATGTGCCCTATAATAAAAAAATCTAAAAAAAAAAAAGTATTATTTTTAATATTTTAATCATTTCATATGATTCAGCTTAGCAGTCCTTACACCGTCACTGTTAAGTGAAATGTTTTCAGTCTGGTGCTTTAACCCTCACTCCTTTAATGCCTGCAGTCCCTGAGTCAGGAGACTGGTTTTATTTCCCTAGACTCCTGCCTTCTTTGGTTGTGATTGGTACTTTCCCAGCTACTCTTCGTGGGGATCAGGAACATGAACTCAGTTGTTCCTCCTATTAACTTTCTATCAGTTTCTCTGTTTTTGGCTACCTATCTTACTGCTGCTTTTTGTGGCACCTAATGCCTCCAATTCTTCAGCCTTCCCTTGCTTTTCATTCACATCAGTTTGCTCTTTGTATCCAAGTATCCCTTCACTAGCAGAAAGTTAAGTTTTAGCTCATTCAACTCTGCCAAATAATTTATCAAACTTTGTTACTTGTCCATCTTTTGAAAATTTATCGTGCTCTCTGTTATCTCCGTTTATATGTTTTTTGGAATATTTATCTTTTTTTCTTCATTTTGTATTATTTTGTTGAGATTTCTTTTTTTTTTTTATAAGAGTTTTAGTATAGTGTACATGCACTCTCCAGAGAGACAGAAAGTGAGAAATCACAATCCCAAGAGGGATAGCCATTCCGCAATCCCTTCTTCATTATCTTCTCACACACACAACACACATGCACATCCAATGGAAGTTTTAAGCTGCTGGGTCCAGTACTCAAACTGCAGTCAGCCATGTGGTAGTCCAGTGACATTACCATTATGCCAGCTGCTGGTTCCTATTTTGTTGGGATTTTTTTTTTTTTTTTTTTTTTCATGACATACTTTATTATTTTTATTGAGATTTCTAAGTAGAGAAACATGCCGCTGCTTTTGTTTTGATAACTGTCGATATGGTTTTATTTCATTTTGTTTTCTTCTACTTTCTTTTTTTTCCATTGCTTTTTAGAGAATTATTTAACTTTTTTTATTATTATTTTTGATCTGACCAGAAAGGGACAAAGTAAGAGAGACAGAAAGAGAGATGGAGAGAAAGTGAGAAAGCAAACTACCAAGTCTAGGACTCAGACTGCAGTTGGCCATGTGAGAGTCCAGTGCCCCCAACCACTGTGCCACCTGCCAGTCCCATCTTTTGCTTTCTTAATTGATTGTTTTTTCCTTTTGAAACTCTGGGCATTCAGTTTGGGAGGACGATATGGAAAAAATTATTTTTTAATTTTTTTTTTAATTCTCAAAGGATGTGTGTGCCCAATAGAGAGAGAGCGCAAGAGAATATTCCCAAGTGGAGTGTAGTCATGCTCCAATCCTTTTTTTGGTCTATTTATTTCTGCAGCCCCTCGGGATTTTGAACATGCATACATAGGAGTTCAGCTTGTTTTTCTAGCTGCCAAGGCCAGGACTTGGCCATGTGAGATCCAGCTCCCTATTACACAGGGTTCAACCACTGTGCTATGTAGTTGGCTCTGAAAATGTTTTTGTTTGTCTTTGCTATATAGTGGGTACTCTCACTGGAGAGAGACACAGAGAGAAAGTGAGAAATCGCTCCCCAAGGAGAATAGCCATAGCACTATTCCTTCTTTTCCATTCTCCTCTAAGGATTTTGGGCACACATGCATTTGCACCTGCTCTTGCACCTGGCATGTTTTCAAGACACTGGGTGTGGGACTCGAACAGTGCAGTCAGCTATGTAGAAGCCAATGGCCTTAATTTCCACACCACCTACTGGCCCTGAAGAAATGTTTTCTAGATAACAAATGATAATTAAAATAACTGAAAAACTTTGTCTCCAGAATTATAATTGTAAACAGAGTATGTATTTTTAAGTTGTTCACAGGACTTAGAGCTCCTGCCAGAGGATTGTTACTCTTTGGTCCACCTGGAAATGGGAAGACAATGCTGGTAAGAATGTTTTTCAAATTTGGGTATTCTGTTGAGGTATTAGTGAATTAGGGAACATGAAAAGGAAACTTTACATTGTTTCCAAGTCTTTTATTTATGATTTGCTTTTTGCTATGGTATTCTTCTCAAGTTTTAAAACTAGTTTTCAGTGCAGGGGACGAGTAGTTAGTGTAATGGCTATGTCGCTGGACTGCCATTTAGTCTACCGCGGTTCGCGTCCCGGACCCAGTGGCTTAAAACTCACGCTGGGCACATGTATGTGTGTGCCCAAGATCCCGAGAGGAGAATGGAGGAGAAGGGATTGCGGCATGGCCATCCCCCCTTGGGGGTGACTTCTCACTTTCTGTCTGTCTGCCTGTCTCTGTCTGTCTCGCGAGCACACATATCCTGTATCAAAAAAAGGCCTCTCAAAAAAAAAAAAAAAACTAGTTTTCAGTGCAGAAGTAGATAGAAAAGTCAAAATGTTATCTTCAGTGCTGTTTTTGATTTGCTCAATTTAGCAGTGTCATGTTCATTGTTTTATCTTTGTCAGAGTATGTGTGCTCACTGGAGAAAGATCTAGAGAGAGAGTAGGAAAGTGAACATATACCCAGTGGGGCATGGTCACACCTTAATCCCTTGTCCATTTCTTCTTCCCTTCAGGATTTTGGGCACACATGTCTGACATGCTTATCAAGCTACTGGGTCCAGGACTTAAACTGTATGATCAGCCATGCGGGATCGAGCAGCCTT